TCTGTTCCACATTTCTTTGCCTCCTCGTAGTTTCCCCCACTGATACTCTTGAGGAGACTCTGGTTTAGTTGTGTTTCTTGGCAAGAATCTACATTCTCTTCTCTCTCTCTTTCTCTTCTTCTCTTTTTCTCCCTCTTTTTCTCTCCCCCCCGCCTCTGTCTTTCTGTCTCTGTCTCTTTCTGTCTCTCTTTCTCTGTCTCTCTGTGCCTCTCAGTCTCTCCTCTTTCTGTCTCTCTCTCCCCCCTCTTTCTTTCTTCCTCTTTCTCTGTGCCTCTCTGTCTCTCTCTTTCTCTGCCTCAGCCTCTCCTCTTTCTCTTTCTCCCTCTTTTTCTCTCTCTGTGCTTCTCTGTCTCTCTGTCTTTCTTTTTTTCTGTGTGCCTCTCAGTCTCTCTTCTTTCTGTCTTTCTCTGCCTCACTTTCTTTATCCCTCTTTTTCTCTCTCTGTGCCTCTTTCTCTCTTTCTCTGTGTCTCTGTCTCTGTCTCTTGCTTTCTGTTTTTTCCCCTCTATCTCTGTCTCTCTGTGCCTCTCTATCTCTCTTTTATGTCTCTTTTTCTGTCTCTCTGTAATAGACCTTAACTGCTTTTGCTGTTTTTTTTTTCTGGTAATAATACCATTTCTTAATCTTCCATTATCCTTTGTTATTTTTTTTTAAATACTTGGTAGACATGCCTTTTTTTTTTTCTAGTCTCACTAACCATCAGCAGACAGAGACAGACAGTCACATTTCCCTGGCTGTGATTGCCCTGCCTTTGGCCCAGGGATGCTGTTTGCCAGATCAGGAGATTTCTGAGGTTTTTAAGCCTCCTCAATATGGCAACTGTTTTTCATCGGTTTCACTGCTCCAAGAAATGGTGTGAGGCGGATGCCTTTGCTTTGTTGCTTTCTTGTGTTGGGGAGGTCCTGGGCTCCTTTAGCAGGTTGGTTTGGCGCTGCTGTAATTGCTTGTGTCCTCTCACCTTGATAGTATCTTCTCATTTGACAATGCTTTGGACTTTTGTTTTATCCGTTGACCTGGGCACGAAGAACTGAGTCCAAACTGACTACTGTCAAAGTCCTCAGTCACTTCTGATCAAAAATACAGTAAGCAGCCCTTCACTTAGCTGACTGATGAATGAAATGCCTGTTCAGAAGAGTAAGTAAGTCAAAACAAATGTATACAGGACAAGGTAATTGAATGTGAAGTTATTTGGGAGAGTAGGCAAGCAGGTGGGCGTTCCATGTTAGGAAAATCAGGAAAGGCTTCTCTCACAAGCTGCATATTGTAGGAGAAGGGGCATCCTAGGAGGCTGAGGAGTGTAGGGGAGGACATTCTAGGCCTGCAGCAGGCCTTGGGCAAATGGGTCTCTGGGTACCTCTCAAAGACTGGAAGGCACCAACCTTCATTGAGAACTTCCACACTTGGAATTTTCTGTGCTAAGGAAAGCTGAGAGCCACAGAATTGACACTTTGGAATGGTGGTGCTGGAGAAGACTTCTGAGAGTCCCTTGGACAGCAAGGAGATCAAATCAGTCAGTACTTAAATTGATTCAGGCAATTCGCTGGAAGGTCAAACACTGAAGCTGAAGCTTAAATCCTTTGGCCACATAATGAGAAGACAAGACTCACTGGAAAAGATCCTGATGTTGGGAAAGATTGAAGGCCAAAGGAAAAGGGGCGGCAGGGGATGAGCTGGATAGAGAGTGTCATGGAAGCGGTGGGCATGGGCCTGGGCAGACTTTGGGAGATAATGGAAGACAGGGGTCTCAAAGAACAGAACGCAACTGAACAACAACAAGATTGAATCACATGTCCAGTTTCTGATCCCATTTTAATTTGAAATATTTTTGGGCCCCAAATAGGAGCACTTTACCTGAATGTGCCACGTTGTGTGTGTGTTTACCAACCTATATCCATAGATGTACATACATGTCTATGTGATATCCATAAATGTAAACCATTGACATATCTTGTTGATTGAGGGAAATAAAAAGATACCACTCTGTAGAGCTCTATTTTAAATTTCTGCTCCAGGCTTATGTTTTCTAATTAGTCAAATGTTGATCCAACATGCCAAGGAAGGATACAAAGAGTTAACTTTTATTTATAAAACACTTTGAAGTTCAAAGTGCTTTCTGTCCCTTATCTCTCTATGTCCAAATGTCTATACTTGTTTCCTCCGGGGCTGAAAGTAGCGTGCATGCCCTTCTACCCCACTAGAAAAGGATTTTTTTCCATTGGAGTTCACCATGCTGTTCATGGCATAATTTTTTGGGGAGGGGGGAAGGGGTGCAGTTTTAAATTGAACATTGGCCTTTTCCTTTCAAGTACCCTATTGAATTTACCTAGTGAATCAAACCCCTTTTGTGTTCTACCCTTGACCCTGTTGCCCTCTTTAGCTCTGGAGAGATCTGGCCCTTAGTTGTGAATTGATTTGCAAACAGGGTCCTTCAGAGCTTGAACTCCTTTGTACTTAGATAATGAAATGCTCCCATAGGAGAGCCCTGGAGAGCTGGACCCTTGGTATGGGCTGAGCCTGTGTGTGTGTGTGTGTGTGTGTGTGTGTGTAGGCATTTTCTAAGATGCCATTCATTGCATTTTGCTTTTCAGACAGCTTGCAAATTTCCTTTGTTTGGCCTCTTCTCCATTTTCTTAAGATGATTACCATGATATAGCCCCACTTAGAAAGGAATTTGAACCTTGGACAGATGCCTTCTGTGTCTTTAGCCCCAGGAAGCAAGACCATTTGATAGTGTGGAATGAAGCCTTAACTACTAGCGACCAAGATCGATCTCTTTCCTAGTAGGCCTTGGAGGCCACGAGGAAACCTCCGTGGAGGCCTCGGAAACCTCCATAGAGTCAGTGGCCACAGAGAATCAGTATTTGGCTGACCCAGGCGCCTGTGGCTGTTGGGCTATGCCCTGGCTCCTCTGGTTGCTTCTTTTAAAAAGAACTGTCCTTGCAACATTCCCAGTTTCTGACATATCTTTGGGGAAAAACTCCTTCCTGGCAGAAGTGGCTGAGCTATTATCTCCTTGCTGAAAGGGCAGGAAGTTGGAGCTCCTTGCCAGGCAGGAGCCTAGAGATCCTATGCACTGGGCAGTTGAGTTTATGGATACTTTATGAAGTGAAAACAAAAAGCAACTTGTATAAAACAAACTGTTTCATGAAGACTAAAGTTGTAAACCTCTCATATTTTGTAATTTCGTGGTGACTTTCATTTCCAGATGACTTTCTCCAATTTATTTGAGTTCCAGCAGCATACTGATTGGTCGTTTTTCTCCATGTTGTCCTGCTCAGGGTTTTCTCTTCAGATCATTTGGCCAACTTTTATCTGGGAACGTGGTAGGGTGGGGTGAGGGCTGGCACTGACTCCAGCGTTGGTGGGGTAGAGGAAGCTCTGGTTTGGTGGTGTGAAGACTTCTGGGCCTCCAGTCTCTACCTCCCATGTGCTGTTGCGTAACCTTGGTCAGGTGTTTTCCTCTTTGAGGAGCTCATGTTTCCTTTCTGTGGAATAAAGGGAAAACTGGCTGGGCTGTGAGAGCCTTTCCACTTCTGGCTTTCTCTTAATTTAATCACAGCTTGTGCATGAGTGGTGCCTTGGTGCCAGGGCCTCAACTGGGTAGGCTGGGGTGAGGCTGAAATTAGAACTTTTCCACAATGGGAGCCATACAGCAAACGTTCACTGGGCTATCTCCTGAAGGGGCTGGTCGTCTCAGGCAAAGATTAGGTGGCCCCTTGTTGAGGGAGGGCTGTAGAGGAGGGGACTCTTGGTCATGTCTGGGTTGGACTAGGTGACTTCTGAGCTCTTGTCCAACTCGAGTCCTGTGGCTGAAGTTGGTATTGGGGAGAAAAAAACTGAGAGCATTGCAATTCTGATAATTTCAGAAGATAGGTTTTCCTGGTTGGCCCAAGCAAGTGTGGGAGGGCACTCTGAGAATACAGTCTAAAAGCATAGACAATTGTTTCTGGCTCAACCAGTGTCTGCTGCAATATAGATGCTTAAGAAGAACCTGAAAAAATAACTTCAGAATGAAATGACATGGACATTGGGAATCATTTTCCCCAGAAGCCATTTCAGCAGCTTCAGCTTAGGGAGCACTTGCATCGGTTGATAGAGGTCTTCTAGTGCTTTTCTGTGCGCATCACACAGATCATTTCTTATGGCACAACAGTTACTCCGTTACACTCATGTACCACAGCCTCTTCACCCGTTCCTTGACCACTAGGTATCTACTTTGTTGCCAGCTCTTGGTTGACACTAAAAGTACTGACAGAAATATTTTAGGGAATGTGGGTCTTTTCCTTTGATCATTTACCTATTTGGTTAAGAATTGGAAATTGAGGGGATGCCCATCCATTGAGGAATGGCTGAACAAGTTGTGGTATATGATTGTAACGGAATACTGTTGTGTTATAAAAAAATGGTGAGCCAGTGGATTTCAGAAAAAAACCTGGGAAGACTTACCTGAATGAACTCATGCTGAGTGAAATGAGCAGAATTAGGAGAACATCATACACAATAGCAGCAACATTGTGTGATGACTAACTTTGATAGACTTAGCTCTTCTCAGCAATGCAAGGATCTAAGACAACTCCAAAAGACTCCTGATGGAAAATGCTATCCACGTCCAGAGAAAGAATTGTGGAGTCTGAATGTAGATCAAAACATATTATTTTCTCTTTCTTTTGTTGTTTTTTTCTTTCTCATGGTTTTTTCCTTTTGTTCTGATTCTTCTTTCACAACATGACTAATGTGGAAATATGTTTAATAATGATTGTACATGTATATAGCTCATATCAGATTTCATGCTGTCTTGAGGAGGGGGGAGGGGGGGAAGGGGGAAAATTTAGAACTCTAAATCTTATAAAAATGAATGTTGAAAGCTAAAAATAAATTAAAAAAAGAGAAGAACTTTGCTTTTTAGCTATATATCATGTAAATAAGATTGTAAGGGTAATAATGTGACCTTTTAAATTGTGTTAATTTTGATGTTCAGTTTTTTCTTTCTTTTCTGGCAGGGGATTTGCCTGGCGTGAGGTGATGGACCATTCAATCCATAGAGGCGAGCTGCTAGCTGCAATCAATGATCGGTATGTTTCTGAACGCAGTTCTTTTAGAAATGAGATAAAGGATTTATTAAGGGCTCAGTATGTGCCAGGCACAATCTTTCTGCTCCTTCAGCCTCCTTGTATTTATGAGGGGCCCTATGAAAATTTGCTGATGTGATTGGATAAAGGATACAAGTAAATAATTGTGTTAGAAGTTGAACTAACGTGGAGGGAGAGGTTGTGCTTAAAAATCTCAATCAAGATAAGCCAAGTGTATTATTCTCAGAGGAATTTGATTTTAATGAATGCTGACTCCTTCCAGGTTCCTAGAGCCCCCCACCCCATAGCATGTGGGTGACCAGAGGCTTTGGAGAGCTTTGTTTCACATTGTGCTGGTTATATCATGACCAGCCTGAGCATTGCTCTGGCCTCTAAGAAAGAGCACAAGGCCAAGGGAAGGCCTCCAGACATTGGGGTAGACTTTCTGGAGGATTGCTGGTGGGACTTGGGCAAGAAGGGCATCAGATGAGAACATATCACAGGACTGCAACCTGATTGAATAGGGGGAATGGCCACACTGATGAGATTCCAGATCCATCTGAGGCCATTTAGAGCTTAGCATCCCCTGGCCAAGAATAGACATTTCAGCAAAGTTTTCTGTAAAGCAAGACAGTCCCTAATAAGTGAATCAAAAAACAAACAACCCCCTAGGAAAAAAAAAACCCTCCTGTATAGTGGCATGGAAATCCCTTTGGATACCTCACCCTGGTGTGAAGGAGACCACAGTTCCTCAAAAGACTGTGGGCAGTGCTCAAGCTCTGACTGTTTCTCAGGTTGGGAAGTCTTTAGGGAGAGGGCTCATGCCATTACTGGCTGCAAGGCTTGTTCCCACAGAGCAGCCTGGTGAAAATTTGAAAGGCTTATCAGCTTGTTAGCATCAGGGTTACTGGAAGATACTGTGTTTTGGGGCCACAGTGATTGCCTAATGTCCCCCCTCACAATGTGTTTTCAGGAGTTGCTTTTTCAGACAATCAGACCTAAGGATTGAAATTTTCTTTTAAATATAAATGTGTGTGTATGTGTGTGTGTGAGGATAGGAGGTGTCTTAATGTATTTTGAATATTAGTCTAATATTAGTCTAATAGGAGAGTTGAATATTGAACTGAATATTAGTCTAATAGGAGATACCTGTTAGGAGTCTTTGAAAATGCTGAGATACGTATTATGTGAACATGAAGGCCAAGTTTTTAATACATTGTTACTGATATATTTTGTATTTTTACATTGCCATAATTTCCCCCATTATCTTTCTCCCTCTCCAAGAGCTGTCTTATATAACAAATATTTTAAAAACAAAAATAAAGGGGGAAAATCAGCATAACTGAGCATTACATTAAAAAAAAAGTCTGAAAATAAGTGGCACACTTGTGGACCACCCAGCTGTGCAGAGGGGTAGGCTTGGGGTGTTGGGGGAAGTTTTCTCACAGCTCTTCTTTGGCATCATTGATGTTCTTTGTAATTTTACCTCATTCACTTGGATTTTTTTTTTCTATTTGCATTGTGGGAGTTACTGTGTGCAGTGCTTTCTTGGCTTTACTTATTTGATTCAACATCATGTAAGTCTGTATTTATTACACTCATTGTTTTTTCATCTTTAATATTTTATTTTTTCCCCAATTATATATAAAACAATTTTTAGCATTCCTTTTTTTTTTTAAAGTTTTGAGTTCCAGATTCTATCCCTCCCTCTCTTCCTTCCTCCATGAGATAGTAAGCAATCTGATATAGGTTATCCATATGTAATCATGTAAAACATTTCTATCTTAGTCATTTCATGGAAGAAAATTCAAACAAAACAAAAAAAAGAAAGTGAAAAACAGTGTGCTTTTGTCTGCATTCAGACTCCATCAGTTCTTTCTCTGGAAGTGGGTAGCTTTTTTTTTTATCATGAGTCCTTTGGGATTGTATTGGATCATTGTATTGCTGAGAATAGCTAAGTCATTCACTGTTGTTCATCATACAGTATTGCTGTTACTTTGTACGGTGTCCTGCTGGTTCTGCTCAATTCATTTTGCATCTGTTCACGTCTTTCCAGGTTTTTCTGAAATCATCCTGCATGTCATTTCTTATAGCCCAATAGTATTCCATTACAATCCCATATCACAGCTTGTTCAGCCATTCCCCAATTGATGGGCATCCCCTCGATTTCCAATTCTTAATTGCTACAAAAAGAGCTGCTATAAATATTTTGTATGAATATACTCATTCTTTCTTTCAGAAGGCTAATACAGTCAATATAAGCCACATTTCTGCCTTTACTCCTCCCTTTGAAATTGTTTCTTCTTTGACAGGAAGTGGGAAGTTTTCTTAAATGTTTGAAAACACTCAAAGCTATCAACATCATGACAGAATGTTTCAAGTCTCAAAAAAGAAATGCAAATTAAAACAACTCTGAGGCTTCAGTTTACTCTCATAAGATTGAGAAGAATGAAAAAGGATGAAAATGGTTAATGTTGGAGGGAATGGGCACAGATAAGTACACTAATACACTTCTGGTGGAGCCCTGAATTTGTCTAACAGTTCTGAAAAATGATTGGAATTATTTTAAGAATTCATTAAAACATACATATCCCTTAACTCTGTGACCACTGTTGGCATATAATCCAAGAAGGGCAAAGATAGATCCCATATATCGAAAGATATTTATAGTAGCACTTTTTTTTAGTAGCAAAGAACTGCAAGCAAATGATACTCATTGACTAGGAAATAGCTGAACAAAGTATGGGATATGAAAACAATGGAATATCATTATACTAATGTTCCATTATATGTATTCGTGTGCCACAATTTGGTTAGTCATTCTCTAATCAATAGACATTTACTTTCTTTCTAATTCTTTGCTATCTCAAAAAGTATTGCTATCAATGTTTTTGTGTGTATGGGGACTTTTTTCTTATCGGTGACCTTCTTGGGGTATAAGCTTAGTGTCTCTGGGTCAAAGGGTATGGATGCTTTAGTCACTTTATTTGCGTAAGTCCAAATTACTTTCCAAAATAGTTGTACCGACTCATTGCCTCACCAGCTGTGCACTAGTGTGGTTGTCTTCCTGTAACCTCCATAACTTGGACTGTTCCCATCTTTTGTCACCTTTGCCAATTTGCAGGATCAGGGTTGCTTTGATTTGCATTTCTCTTATTAGTGATTTGGACCTTCTTTCATGTGGTTGTGAAGATTTTGCAATTCTGCTTCTGAGAACTGTTTGTTTGCATCTTTTGACCATTTAGCTATTGGGGAATGGCTTGTGGTCATATATATCTAGAGCTAGATCTAGACATGTTAAATGTTGATAGTTTTGAATACCAAGCCCTTATTAGAGAAATTTAATACGAAGATTTTCCTCCCATTATGCCACTTCCCTTTTCCTTGCATCACTTTTGTCTGTGCAGAAGCTTCTCAGTGTTGTGTGATCTAAGTTATCTATTTTCTCTTTTGTAAGTGCCTCTAGTGCTTGTTTGATTAAGAATATATTGCCTCTTGATAGCTATGGCGGAAATTGATCTCTTTCTCTTCTATTTTTTTTATAGTCTCATCTTTAATATTAAGGGCATGTGTCCATGTAATCCATGTATTGTGGAATATGGTGTAAGAGGTTGGCCTAAGCCTCATTTCTGCCAGATTGCTTTCCACTTTTCCCAGCAGTTTTGATCAAACAAGGTCTTCTTTTCTAAGTAATTTGTGTTTTCTACTTTATTGAATATTGGGTTATTGAGTTCCATTGTTTCTGATGCTGAAGGGTGAGTATTAGAAGAAGACATGCTAGCTTGTCCCAATGGCCTGCCTCAGGGGAATGCCATTGTCATGCTAGGTTGCTGCACCCATCGCTCTCTGAAGTATCCATCGAATTGTAAATGGAGGCTCTTTCATTCAAGCCAAGTGCTCAATACAAATGACTGGATGTGAGACTGAAGGAAAGCCAGCAGATATTGGGGGGGTTGCCCATCCACTTCTCAGTGGCATTCAGGAGGGTGACTGGATGGGGTCTTTTGTCAGCACTTGCTTCCCATGACCCTTTGAGGCACTGGCTGCTTATAAATGAATGTCGATAGATTTGTTTCCGCTGTGTAAGCTTGTGGACTCCTGTTTATCCTTGCTTAGGTCAAACTGGGACAGTGAATCAGAAGGGAAAATCTGAGGCTCGAAGATGCTTATGAAGATGAGTTTATCTAGGGCCGTTTACCTAGCAGCAGTAGGTAAACCCTGATCTGTTATGTTTGGATAACTGGAGAGGGGAATGCAGACACATGGCTTGGAGCCTGGTGGCTTTGTAGGGTGACATTGTTATTTCATCCCAAAGTTCTGCAGGCTTGCCATCACCCCTCGCCATGGTCCCTGGAATGCTTCAGCTAGGGCAGCTTGCAGCCTAGTGGGGTAGCTGCCTCCCCACCCCCACCCCCATCCCCGGGGCAGAGTTCAAGGTCATCCCAGGCCATCCGTCAATTGACTCAGAATTTTTTACAAGGTGTGGATTGGGGTGGGGGATTGTTTAATAGTGAGGTCCCAGTGAAGACACTCCCTCTACCAGTATAAAGTCCTACCAGATCTGACACTCTGAGTGCTTGTGAAATGCCAGGAGACACTGAAAGGTTAAGGACTAGGCCCAGGGTCACACAGCCAGGATACGGCAGAGGCAGGGGTCTTCCTAACTGTCTACTACTTCATTTTGTCATACTGTCATTTGGCGCAGTGGGTAGAGGGCCAGGCCTGGAGTCAGGAAGATCTGAGTTCCAATCTGGTCTCAGACACTTACTAGTTGTGTGACCCTGGGCAAATCCCTTTGTCCCTGTTTGCCTCAGTTTCCTACCCTCTGTAAAATGGGGATAATAATAGCACCTACCTCCCAGGGTTGTTGTGAGGATCAGATGAGATCATATTTGTACAGCACTTTGCAAACCTTGAAACTCGATATAAATGCTAGCTGAATGATCATTATTCATGAATAGAAAATTGCAGCATCTTACTTTCTTCAAAAATATAACATGCTA